CATCATTGCCCATAGGTCAGAGGGAGGGGGCAGGGCAACACCTTCAGGCCCAGTCCCAGGAACTGGAGATGGGGATGGTGCAGGGAGTATGACTCTTCCTGTTGCTACTGTTTCTCCCTCGGGGAGTCCCTCCATCCTATCTGCACACCTACAGAGTGATATAGGCCAGAGGAGTGGCCCAGGGAACTCAGATGGCCTCTCCAAAGAGCAGCTGGAACACAGGGAGCGTTCTTTGCAGACGCTGAGAGATATAGAGAGGTTGCTTCTGCGCAGTGGGGCAAGTGGAGGACCTGGAGAGACAGGAGGCCCTAATAACAATGCTAGTAATAACTCCTCCAACCTGAGTAATAACAACAATACTGATAGGAGTGGTATTCTCGAAGACAGTGACAATGGTACTAATAACTGCAGTAGTGGTAATATGCTATCATCAGCCTTGGCTCCTATTGGGGGGATGAAGAGGTTTGAAGAACCCCTCCAGTCCATAATTTCTCAAACACAGTCCCTTGGTGGACCGGCCATTGACGGCCCTCAAATGGACTCTCACCATAACCTACCACAACACCCCCATCACCAGCTGTCTTCACCTGGGGTCGACATGGGTCCCTTACTTGGACCGGACGGGCTGACACCAGAGCAAATGGCATGGAGGAAACTTCAAGAAGAATACTACCTAGAGAAGAGACGGCAACAGGAAATGCAACCCCACACACATCCGCAGCACTTTAGAATGATGACAGAGATGGGCATGCACGGAGGTCCTATGATGATGAGAGGACCCCCACCTCCTTACCACAGCAAGCCTGGAGACCAGCAGTGGGGTCCTGGCAATATGATGGGAGGAGGAATGGGTGGAAATCCGCGAATGATAGACATGCACCAAGATGGACCCCGTGGTCCAAGGTTCCTGGGACAGATGCAGAGGGGGCCACCTGGGGGAGGTGGTTTTCCTGGTAGTACAGGTGGAGTTTTATCAGTTGAGGGTCTAGGACCCCAAAGACCTACCAGGCCAGGGATGATTTGGCTAGATGATATGCCAAACAACATAGGTGGTGGAGGTCCCTTTCATGGCTGCTACCCCGGTGGACCTCCTCAGCACTTACAAGGTGACCCAGAACATCCGTTAGCGCATGAGGAAATGTTGCGCATCATGGAGAAACGGCAGATGCAGGGGCTTCCAAGGTTTGAACTTGACAGGTTAGCTAAACAGCAACAACAGGGCAACCTTGGTTCGAGAATTATGGACAATCCTGGTGGCCCAGACTTTCCTAATTTGGGAATGGGCCGTGGCCCACCCTCCTCTCGAGGTGATCCTATGGACTTCCCTGGCTCCCGGGAGATTATGGGCTCTCCTGGAGGGGGTCCTCAGATGAGAGACTTGGTGGATTCTCCTTTGGGGGGCAACCTCACAATGAACATGAACCAACAGATGAATGTTCAGCAACAACAGCAGATGATGCTATCTCAGAAGCTCCGAGGAGGTCCTGCTGGAGGGGGGCCTTTGAGTGAAATGTTTAGTCCTGGAGAGATTTCACGAATCAGGGCTTCACAGAATGGAAGAGGAGGAAATAAGGGGATGATCCCAGGACCTGATGGCCCCTTCCAGTTTCCCAATCAAGGTCCCTTCTCTGGAGGACAGGTGGAAGGACCCTATCTTCAACAACCTGGCCCTGAGATGTTTGGGCCTGACCAGCAAGGTCCTAATCAAATGGGAGTTACATCACGGCTTAGTCATATGCCTATGACTGGGGGCCTCAGGGGAGCAGACCTCAGCCCTAGGCACCCCTCTGACCTATCAATCAATGTTAACCCCCTAAACTCTCCTTCAGTGCCTCCTCATCAGCTCAAGTCTCCATCGCTCAACCCAGAGCCATCAACTCTTCTACCTTCCCCCTCCGCTCAAGGACTGAAGTCACCCTCACAGATCTCTTCTGCAGGGCATCACCCCCCTCTTCCCCCTGCATCTGGTGCTGGGACTCCTTCCTCTTCTTCCATGAAATCTCCCCAGGTAATGGGGTCTTCCAACCTTGTGTTGCACTCTCCATCTGCCTCTCCTGGACGACTTAAGTCCCCAGCCATGGCTGTGGGTTCTCCAGGGTGGGCGTCTCCTAAAACAGCTCTTCCAAGTCCAGGTGGTCCAACCAGTGGTAAGATAGTGGGCAACGGAGGAAGTATTTCCACTGAAACAGGTACACTCTGAATCCAAGATAATATTGTTCATCATTAATACGGTTCTTTGTAATGCTGTGACATTAATAATTTTTTAAATGTTCTTTGCAGGCCAATCACTTCCCCCCAGGAGCTCCAACTCTACCCCCATTAGCCAACCAGGATCTATGAATCCTAGTATGCCATTTACTTCCTCTCCCAATGCCCTTCCATCTCAGAATCCTTTATCTCTTATCATGTCCCAGATGTCCAAGTATGCCATGCCTAGTTCCACTCCTCTCTACCACGATGCAATCAAAACTATTGCCACTTCCGATGATGAGATGCTGCCCGATCGACCCCTTCTATCTGGTGTCAGCATTGGAGGTAGGAAAACAAGGAAACATTGTTACAAAGACAGAAAACACCTTATACAGTTCTGAAGTATGCATAGAGGAAGCAGTAGAATGGCCCTGATTCAGTGTGTCATTTGTAGATTTTGCCATGCTATCAGAAAATGAATGAATGGTTTTAATTCATAGAAGGTTTTTATAGTGAAAGCAAACACAGATCTCTCAGCCCAAGTTCTCATATTATAGTAGTTCTGTTTTAAAGTATACCTCCAGTTTATATTTAGTCTACTGTGTTGAGAAAACCAGCAGTGTATTTTCAGATGTTAATAGTGTGATTTGTCACATGCTGGTCTTGTTGTAATGCTTGCTCATGGTGGGAATTGTTGGGTCTCTATATAATTTTATAAGGAGTATGGTGTTGACCTGCTCTAAAAAGTGTGTTGAAAAGTGTCCTGAGATAACTTCTGTTATGATTTGTCACTATACAAATATAACTGCATTGAAATTGAAATTGAAATTGTAATTGTTTTATCACCAGGAAACATGGGGAACCCCCAGACCTCCCAGATACTTGTCTCCCAGGGCTCCATTGGTCCCCACAGTGATCCACAAAGCCCCATGGGTATTGTAAGCCAAGGTCAGCAGCACCTGTCCCATGATGCCTCGGGACCTGTGCTTTCTTCCCCAAACCACATGGGCATGCCTGCCATGAATTCTGCCATGATGGGAGGAGGCGCACCTGACGGACTGGGGCCCTGCAATGTTTCACCTATATCTCAGAACCAGATGGCAGGTTTTTCTCGCATCCAGCAACCACCTCACGGGCCCATGCACTCACCTATTGGAGCAATGTCACAGAATTTCTCTCAGTCTAATGAGGATATTCTACCACCTCAGCAGTTACACCTGCTTAGCAAAGGTCATCATCTCCAACGCCCCCCTCACCCTTCAGACTCATTTGCCTCTTTGCCCATGGGGGATGGCCCGGATCTAAGTGAAGTCATACGACCCACTCACACAGGCATCCCTGAGTTTGATCTCTCCCGCATCATTCCTTCTGATAAGCCCAGTAGCACGCTTCAGTATTTCCCAAAGAGTGAGCAACATCAAAATCCACACCAGGGGCCACCATCCCAGCAACCTACTCCACAGCAGCTCCTCAAACAGCTGTCTTCTTCTGGCCCTCCACACGGCAGCGGCCCTTCATCAAACCCCCATTTAGCAAACCTACAGAATATGATGGCTGAACAGCAGCTGCCACCTCACCCCTCACATGGTGGAATACGCCAAAGCATGGGCATTCCTCAGGGGGGCTCTAGGGGTATGGTTTCCGGTGGGGGCATGGGCCCCATGTGCCCCCCTGGACATATGATGGGAAGGACAGGCATGGTGCCCCAGCAGCATCTCCAGCAACAGCAAGCCATGATGGCGAACAGCCTTCTCCATCATTCTTCCAATCCATACCCTGGCATGATGTCCTCCCAGCAGCACCCACACAATCTGATGGCACAGCAGAACATTATGATGATGCAGGCTAAGCAGCGAAGCATGTCAATTCCAGGGGATCCTTTTGGCCCCCAGGGTCCTCTAATGTCCCCTCAGGGTCCCATGATGGCCCCTTCACACCCACAGTCTGGTATGATGGGCCCCCAGTCTCTCAGACAGCGTGGAATGCCTCTGGACAGTCCTATTGGTTATGGCCCTGGAGGTATGGCTAATATGCCTTTCTGATCCAGCTCACATGAACTGTACAAAAAAAACAAAAAAAAACAAACAAACAAAAAAAAATGTGTCTACTAGGTTACCTTCCCATTGTGTCCAAGTTTTTTCATTAATGTTATTCTTGCAGTTGTTTGAAAAGAGGAACTGTAAAACAATAAATCAGTGATGCTCCTCAAATTTTGGGTTACAACTGATTTTAAAAAGATCGAATATTTAAAAGCACTGTAACACAGTTAATAACAAATCTGAAGCCATTTTCTAAAATACTGTAAAATATGTATATTTCAAAGATGTGTGTATTTGTTGTGGGAACAGAGTGGCAGTCAGGAGAGGAGTGCCTCAAAATTTCTATTTGTTTTAATATCATTGATTTATTTTCTCCAATCATACTACATACCATAATAACCATAGTATACTACGCCATACTAGCATATATTATAGTCACATATACTACGTACCATGCTACTATACCTGAACTACTATATACTATATATCACTACTATATACATACAGTCGCCTATAATCTATTCATATGAATATATATAGTAACTATATATATATATAGTAATCAAAATGTTGCTGTAAATATAAGAAGACCATTTGATAAGAGAATACTAGATATTGCCAAGTATGTTCTGTATAACTGTGTTCTCTAAATAGACAGCTCGTAACAATACGATATTACGTAACTCACTGATCTCTAAGGTGATTTTACTGTCCTGGTTATTGTGTTGTCAATTATTGTTGTTTGATAACACTGACACGGGGACACGGTTGCTGTATACTAAATGAAATCTTTATTGAATTCAATTAGCAGTACCGAACATACAAACAAAAACAGATTTCAGCCAACATTTTTTTTTTTGAGTGGGCAAATAAAACATCTTTTAAATGCAATCAAAGTAGCAATGGGTACTATATTGTCAGAACATCTGATAAAATTATAACATTATCCATCATAACAAACAAAACAATGAAGAACAGAAGCATTTTAGTTACAGCTGACGTTGTAGAAGAGTTTATCACATGAGAACGGTGCTGGTGGTTGTTCCTCCATCAGAAAAGGATGGTCGACTGTGACCCCGAACTCTGATGAAAGGCATACAAACACGGCCGCAGCCCAGTTTCCAGAGTAACTGAATAAGCTCATTGCGAAACCGCACCCCAACAAAGGCATATAAGAAAGGGTTCAGACAACAGTGTGACAAACCCAGACTCATCGTCACATAAAGGGCTGGTTGCAGGTGGTCATAATAGTCACAGCCGTTTAATATGGTGACCTTCAGGTCTGCTAGAGTGTTTATCAGTAAGGTGATATTATATGGTAGCCAACAAAAACAAAAGACGAGAGTGATGAGTAAAGCCAGTCGAATGGCTCCTTGCTTGTCTTGGCTTTTGTGACTCTTGAACAAAGTAACTACCACTGCTGTGTAACAATAGCTCATTATGGCCAGAGGTAGGAAAAAGCACACGTGATCCAAGACTCTACGGGTCAAAACCCAGTTGTGTGCGTGGATACCATAATGATGAAAAGAACAGGTGAGCAATGTAGTTTCCCAATCCTCTTCCACAGTGAGAAACACAACATTGGGCATTGATAAAGCCAAGCAAACCAGCCATAAGAAAGTGCATGTTATGTGCACTGTTCTCCGACGTCGACTTTGCATACTAGTAATGGCATGAACAATTGCAAAATACCGATCGCACCCAATGCAAGCTAGAAGGAAGCTCCCACAGATGAGGCTGAGAGATTTCACCAAGCCCATCAGCTTGCAGAGAAAGTTGCCGAACAGCCAACCGCTGGCATTCTCAACTACATCAAAAGGCAATGTAAAAAGGAGCATGAGGTCAGCCACGGCAAGGTGAAGTAGGTAGATCTCAGTGATGCGCAGGAGATGCCGACGTCTCAGGAGGACCGTTATCATCAGGCCATTCCCTACCACACCCAACAGGAAGATGAAGATGTACAGCGCCGCCTGGAACACGTCCAGAGAGGTCTGCTGGCCCGTTTGCTCACAAAATGTGTCATTGTCTGTTGGGTTATCTGTGTAGTTGTAGTCTGTCAGGTTATCCTGTGTCATGTTATCCTGTGTCAGGTTATCCTGTAAAATATAATAGTGGGATAATGTTGTTTTTATTTATCTTATCACAGTTTTGGGGATCACATTGTGTGCTGGGGATAATGACATGAAAGCTTATAATTACATCAGCTTGAATGGCTTTAAAATCACTACCTTGATTGTGTTCTATATTCCATGTAGTTATCTTATTCAAGCTGTTTGGCAGGAAACACTGAATAACCAGAACTTTTTCACTTCTTCTTTACAGTAACTAAGAAACGTTTTGAGGCAAATGTGTCAAAACATCCTACTGTGGCTGTATACTAATGAATTAATGAATACTAATGCCCTTTTTCCCCCCAATCATCAGCCAAGTTATTATTAGACCTGGTTGAGAAATCATAGCTATTAAAACTGAAGTTGTGACGTTAGATGAGGACTCGCTGATACAAAAAGTAACTAAAGGCCTTCTAAAATTGCTAAAAATATATTCATAATTTTACGTACAACACTGAATGCATCCACTTGAATTACATTGCATTCCAGTGTTATATTTGCAGCAGCATGTACTTTGTGCTCCAGTTGCTACATCTTTGGATAAAGAGAAGTAAATATTTTTAAAAATAGATATTGGCCTATTCGTCATATTTTTTTCCATGACACAAAACCTTTACATTTTAAAAGTATAAACCACTGGCAACGTACATGCAATCATTACTGTCATTGTTATTATGGGGCCTAAAGTTCATAATGGCTACTACATTGTAACCTGTTCTTCTATCACAGTGGTTTAACACAATTTTAGAATGTAATTTCCTTTATGTAATTATTAGGTTTATACATTTGATTTATATTACAGGCAGTGCAGATCATCAGGCAGCGATATGTTGACTGCGATTTGAGATGAGAAACAAACAGATATAATTATTTAAATTAGTCTTCTGTTTGTATCTTCATCAGTGTGATGATAAATTAATTGCTATTCTATCTATTCTGCATTAAAAAATAGAACATATCACCCTACATTACTCTTATAATAGTCACATACAGAAGGATGTATTAGAGTGGATTTCCTCCTCACTTATTTCCCTAGTGAGTGAACAGGAAAGAAACTATATACACTTCATGTAACACACATCTGTTTGTCTGCATTTTTTTAGGGTTCAGTAATTCTGGCTACCATAGTTTATAAATAATGTTCCTTAACTTACTTTAAATCTTGTAGTTGAATCTTAACCACAGGCAGCTACGTGTTGCTCCTTACCATAAGATGTTTGTTTTTTTAAATGCCAGAAGCTTTAGCTGAGATTTAGAACATTTTTAAGAGTTAGAGAGATTATACTTTACGTTCACTATACGTTGTATATGGGGCAGTAGAGTGAAGGAAATCTGAATGCTGTCATGTTATTTGTCTATTTAAAAAAATAATTTAATTAATTTAATTAAAGTAACTAAAAATCAGGAGAGAAAATATATGTGACTGGAATTATACTAACTGGAATTTGTCCACTTAAGGACATTTGACTGCAGACAAACTCACTGTATACTTAGCCTGTTGCGTAACCAGGACACCAAATATTTTTATGTTATAGAAATGACAAATTTAACACACATGCCACATTTAAACATCTGAAATTAAATTTGCAGCAGAATTGGAAATTAAATTTACAGCAGAACTCGACCCACTATATATATTAGTATAATAAGACCTTAAGAAAGAATAGTTCTGCAGCGCCTCTAAAGCAATTTACCATTCACTTCAACAATTTCTTAATTACATCTTACCTCAAATTCTGTAAAGGTGATTGTTACAGCCATGGGGGTAAATCTTGGTCTCTTGTGTAGCTTACGCCGCAGTAATGAAATGTGCTTGTACTTCCTGTTTGTACTAGTTCTATATTTGCTTGGGCTGATTTCTTTGTTGGGTGTGTTTGGTAGACAACCGGGCTTTCTACAGTCAACATGCTAGAACAGTAATGCAACCCACACACACACATCT